AGCGGCTGAGCAGCGCGGGGCCTGCCGGGGCTCGGCTGTGTGCCAGGGGGGACCGGGCTGCCTCCTGCCGCCGTGGCCCCCGGCCCCACTGCTCGGCCCGCGGCATCCAGCGCCGGGGCCCATTGTTTGGCCGCGCCAGGCTGCGGGGCAGGATTCCTTTGTCAGAGCTCGGCAATATTTTATTCTAACAATTAACCAAACACGCCCGGGCTCCCGAGCCTGTTTGTGATTATTGGAGGGCAAATTCCCCAGCCTCGCTCCCTCTTGGTGTCGGCTCTGCCTGGGGCTGTGCTGGGCAGTGGGGATCCAACCCTGCTCCCGCCAGCTTGGGATTGGGGACCCCCAACTGCGCCGAGAGCCCCCTGCTCCTGCCGCTGGCGCTGGGGGGGTTTGGTTGCCTCGACCCCCTCGGGAACCCGTGAGCATCGCCGACATTGTCTCCGCAGCAGCGGGATCCGTGGCGGCACAGGGGCAGCGGTGACTCACGGATGGGGGGGATGTGAATCACAGCCCTTGCTCTCCGGGCAGGATGCGGCCCCGCACTCGCAGCTTGCCGCATGCCAGCGATGGACCACAGGCTTTGTCCTCCGCGGGGTGGAAGCGGCTCGCTGCCCAGGGTGGGATGAGACGGGGCCGCTGCTCTTTCTTGGGGGCCCCCAGCATCTCGGGATGCCGGTGCAGCTTTCCCAGCCCCAGCTTCAGGGTGGGATGAGGGTGCTGTGGGGTGCGGGTGCCTCCTGCATCCTGGCTCTCTCCAAGGCTCCTCACCATGCTTGGGCTGCGTCCTCATCGCTGCTTGCTGCACCGGTGGTAAAAAAAGCTGGCACCTCCCTTTGCAAACTCTCCTGGAGAGCAGATTGCCCAGTGCAGGTTATCAAATCCCTGTAAAATCTCTTGCCTGGGGCCAGCTCAGCTCATCTCACCTCACCCTGCTGCTGCGTTTCCACCCTCCAGGCAGTGGATGCTGGGTCCCAGGCCTGGTGCTGCGGCCAGAGCCGTGGCTGGAGCCGGCAGCGAGCTGGCAGCGAGCTGGCAGCCCTTGCCTGGTGCTGCCCATCGTGGGCAGGGAGTCCCAAGCGGGAGCTGGAGCCAAGGGTCGGGGCGGGCACCATGGGTGATGCTGTCCACCGAAGCAGCTGGTGCTGGTGCTGGTGCCGGTGCCCTGCGGCGGGGCCGTCCAGGTTAGCCGGGGGTTATTAGCCATCCCAGGGGAGATATGCTGAGCAGGTTGTTTCTCCAGTTGCTGCCCGGGATGGAGGGATCCTGGGAGCGGCCAGGGCAGAGGAGGGGGTTTGCAGCCACAGGGTGGGAGGACAGAGGAGGGAGCGGTGCCGCGGTGTTGCCCTGGCCCTGCCAGCATCCTTGGCGGCAAGAGCCAGGCATGGGGCAGGGAGCAGGCACAGGCAGCCTCTCCTGCCCGCTGCTGCCTGCGGGTGATGGGGCCAGAAAGGTACGACCCCTGAGCCGGTCCCCTGGCCCTCGCTGTGGCTGCACACATGCCAGTGCCTAAACCTGATCCTTCAGAGCCAGGGCTTCTTCCTTGGCAGTGCTGCCTGGCCCCGGGCTCTCGGTCTGATCCTGGATCTTAAAATACAGCGAGTCGTCAAAGCAGAGCTGCTCGGGTGGCTGGGCCAGGCAGGGCAGCCGGAGCGCGGCGCTGGTGAGCAGCCCGGCAAGCAGTGAGCTGCCGATGGCCACTGCCAGCCCCGCCGTCTGGCACAGTGCCTGCCTGCCCACCCCACGGTCCCCACACTGTCCCTCCGCCGTCTCGCTGGCGTTGCACCTAACAGGGGACACCGAGGAGAAGTGGGACCTGGAGGTGTCCTTGGATGCCAGCAGGATGACCATGGTGCTAGCCACAGCGCCGAGGATGCCGGGCAAGCCGTGGAGGTTGTGGATGCCGCACTGGTCCTGGATGGCGAGCTTCCTTGCCAGGAGCGGGGTGAGGAACCTGAAGCCAAGGACGCATGCCACGGCTGAGAGGCTGCCCAGGGCAAGAGCGGCCACTGGCGGCATGGCCATGTCAGCCACCACGCCAATGGCCACCCCGCCGGCCAGGCTGCCATTCTGCAAGTGGCCGGGGCTGAGCTTGCCGTCTCTCTCCAGCAGGCTGGAGGCCACCATGGTGGTCACGGCACTGGCACTCATGGCCAGGAGGGTGTTCAGGATGGCACGATGCTGGGCATCTCCCGGTTGGCAGAGGACGGCCACGAAGCTGGGCCAGAAAACCCAGAGGATGAGCGTCCCCACGAGGGACAGGAGGTCGGAGCGGTGTGTTGGGGTCTCCTTGGGGTGCACTGGCCGCTGTGCTGCACCGAACAGAGCCTTGGACACGCCGAGGCCGAAATAGCAGGAGAAGATGTGGATTGTGATGGTGCCCCCCACGTCCAGGACGCCCAGATGGGTGACGATGGCCAACTCAGTGGCGAGGTAGACGGGGACTTCACAGGTGGCCACAACAAGGAGCTGGCAGGGGCTGGTCCTCCCCAGGATGGCCCCCACGGAGATGAGCACCGTCACGGCGGCGAACTCGGCGGTGAGGAGGTTGTGGAGGTCCAGGTGGACCTGACCGTGGTGGAAGTGATGGAGTAAGCCCTGCAGCACCAGCGCCCATTGCGTGGAGAAGTTGAACAGGAGGAAATTGTGGGCGATGGCGCTGAGCCCGTAGCGGGGCAGGAACGTCAGCAGGAGCCCCAGCCCCACCACCAGCATCACCTGGATGTCCTGGAAGAGGGGGAAGATGCCGTAGAGCTGGTGGGCCACCAAGCTGGCATCCTCCGCCTGCGCCGAGGGCTTGTCGTAGATGACGAAGAGGGCAAAGAAGAGGAGCAGGGCGCCCTGGAAGAGCCCCAGGGAGAGGGGCAGGAGGCGGCGAGGGCGGGTGGGCGGCAGCGTGGCCATCCCAGGGCAGACAGGAGGGGATGGTGGCCGGTGGGGTGGCTGGGCGCGGGGTGGCAGCCCGGCAGCACTGGCAGGGTGAGCTCCGCTCACTCCTACATCAGGGTTTTATGGCCATGGTTAATTTTTAACCAAAGATATAAGTTTATGTGCCAGAAGAGGAGGTATTTCCCTCCTCCCTTCTTTAAATACAACGCCCATAAATTACCCACGTGCTCTTGTTTGGCCGCCATAAAAAGTAGATGTGAGGGGGGTTATGATTTTGAAGGGAAACAAGAAAAACCTGCCACGGGGCGGAGGGGGGAGAAGGACGATTGACGAGGAGCCGGCCAGGGACGAGGGTACCATGGCACGCACCCCCATTTAACCCATCCCCATCCCAGGAGCGCCTCTGAAGCTCCCGGAGCAATGCTGGGAGCTCAGGCTCCCCCAGCTCCCGGTCTGGCTCTGCTACATCCCACCCGGGGACGGCTCCAGCACCGCCATCACCGCCACGCTGCGGAATGATGCACGTTTTGCTCGGCAACTGCCTGGATTTTGCAAAGCGCCATAAAGCTCCGAAATCAGGGCCGAAAAGATCATTTTCTCATAGGTTTGCATTGGCTTGAATGGCTGGAAATTCATTAACAATTAGTGCGCGAGAAAAACAAAGCCCAAAGCAGCCAAGCAGCTACCCCGAAGTTTCTGGGTTGCTGCTTAGTGTGACATTTTGCCAGTGAATGTCTGGAAAAAAAAAAAAAAAAAAAAGAGAACCACAAGAACAAAAGGCAGAAGGGTTGGTAAATATTTGTTCCAGAGAGAAGATATTTTTGTGCTGTCCCTGATCTCAACACCCCTGCCGTGGGCGCTGGCTCTGCGCCGCTCTTCGTCATTGTTACTGGAGGATGAGGCAGGCGAGGGCGCAAAATGGGAAACAATTGTTGAATAATCTGCGCGAGGCTGCTCTGCCAAACCCTCCCCGGCTATTTTTCAACCCAAAGATGCTGGAAATGGGGGCAATGTATAGGAGGAGGAGGTGCTTTGAAGGCAGCGCCTTTGGGGGTTGAGGAGGGGTTGCGTTGCGCCCAAGCCATGGCCAACGGCAGCGGAGGGGTGATGAGAGCTGTGGGGGTTTGCGGGATGGGACCCGGGATGGTTTGTCTGCCCGTAACGTGTCCCTGCCCCACGGCCAGTGCTGCTAATGGCGGCAGATGCTCCCACGGCCATCCCTCGCCCAAGGAAATGTGGGCCTGGGGTCCCCATGGTGCCGTACGGCTCTCTCCGGTGTGCCCAGGGTGGCTGGGGATGGGATGGGATTGGATGGGATGGGATGGGTGAGATGCTCCCATTGCTCCTGCCCGTGCCCGCACTGGGGCACAGCCCGACCCACTGCCCGCGGCTGCTGCCAGCTCCCAGCTCCACCAGCAGCAGGGACGAGGGGATGCAGGCGAAGCCTCCCTCACCCCTTGCTGGTATAAAAAAGGCAAAGAAAGGCGATTTCAGACCCCGACGCCTCACCCGTAACCCTTTGCATGCCACGCCAGCCCGCCAAAGTGATTTTTCAAGGGGACAGCCTGGTGCAGTAAAACCTCTTGTGTTGATGGGATAAAACCCCAGGGCGATGCTCGGAGCGGGCAGCGCTCCTGAAACGGAGGAGCCATGCTGCTCTCAAAGACCTGGGGGAAGCGTTTAGGCCCTGGCCGCTCACCCTGGTGTGCCGGACACCGGGGTGCTCGCTGCTGCAGACTCGCTGCTGTGCGCTCGCTCCTCTCCCGCTGCCCCGCAGCGGCTCAGCCCTCCCCTTCTCCCCTTCCCACTTCAGTTCAAGGCTTTTTTAAGGTGAGGCTAAATAAAATCCTGAAAGAAAAAGCTTTTGAACAGGTCTTTCAAACAGCAGAGTGCTTTGAAGATTGCAAAGTTATGGCAAAGTGCCTCCTGCGAGGAGGAGGAGGAGGATGCTGGAGGAGATGCGTTCTGGAGCATCCCAGTGCTGCCCAGATCTGCTGGAGAGGACAAGCACCGTGTTGGGAGTTTTGGGATATAAAGGCCCACCTGGATCCGGTCATCACCTCTGGTAAAGGGGCGGAGGTGTGGGGATGCTGGGGTGTTGGGGTGCCCTCAGTGGCTTGCCGGGTCAATAGATGCTGTGTGGGGGCACACGGGGAAGCGGCAGCGTGGGGTCAGGCTGCCAGGCTCAGTGCTCGGGGACGGGAGTGTTTCGGGAGGTGACACGGCTCCTTATCTCCATCGGCGAGTGATAAGGAGTTGCAGGTTCAGCATGGACACATGCTCTTTTTCCACCTGGAAATCTTGCTCTGGCAGCACTCGGGGATTTGGGATGCTTGTCCGGGCTCCTGGAGGGGCAGAAGCCAACGGAGGGGCTCCCCTGCGACCCGCAGCCCCTCGCATCCCTCCCACCACCATCCCCGGAGCTGCTGCATCCAATGCGGGCCTGAGCCGTGCTGGCACATGGGCACATGTGGAGACTGGGGCCAACCACCACCACGTTCCTTTGCTGAGCCGTTGGGTACCACCATCCCCTTCCCTTGGGAAAAAGGCCATCCCATTTAGCCTCCCCGCTTCCCAAACCAGACGAGGTGCAAAGAGCAGCGATGCCCAAGCGCTCCCCGGGCCAAAGACCCCGCTGCAGAAAGGGTAGAAACCCCGCTGGGGCGCAGATTAAAAAATAACCTTTATGGCACCCATAAAAGAAGGTCGAAGTTTCAAGAGGTCGCTGGGAAGGTGAAAGTCCCCCCTGGCCCCGGAGCACCCCCGAGGACAGTGAACGATTAACCCTGCAGTGCAGGGTGCACCGTCGGGATGCCACGGTCCTCACGGGGAGGACCCGGCACGGGGGAAAAGGTCCGGTCCCTCCAGTAACATTTTCCAGGCATGGAGAGTTTTCTTTCGGCACTGAAGGAGCGGGGATGGAGGAAGCATCTGGTGAGGGCTGGGGCGGTGGGGAGGGGACCATTGAATTCCACCCCCCACGTCCCCCTTTCACTGTGTGGGCAGTTGTTTTATGGCAGGAGGACCGGGGAACCATTTTAGCATGATCCACGCTGAGACTGCTAGAGGAGTTCCCCGCTGAGGGCTGGATACAAAGAAAAGCTGAATTAACCGAGGGTCATATAAGGCAACAGGATCTGACAGATCCGAGCCAATATATGCTGGCAACAGCCAGTCCATGGCACTGTGAGAAAACACTCCTGCAAATTTAACAAATCCCTATGGTCTAGAAAGTCATGTACAAGAAATAACTAATGAAGGGATCTAGTCATATCTGGATTTCCAGACGTTGGTCATGCTCCCACCGCGTTTTGCAGGCCATATAAGTACATGGATCTGAATCCCGGGCGCTGGAGACCGGGAGGATTGTTCCGATCATCTTGTCTGACCTCCTGCGTCAGACGAGGGCTCCCGGCGAGGAGGGGATGCTCAGCCCAGCCGGGCGGCGGCGGCTGGGTCCTGTGGCCGCACCGGGCTGGGGTTGGCCAGAGAAGGTTTGGGAACGCCGTGGTGGCACTGGGGTGGCTGGGTGCCCCCACCCCGTGGCGATGGGCTGGCACCTGGGGATGGGTGCTGGGGACCCGCTGCCGGGCAGGAGGGAGCAGGAGCTCCAGCTTCATCCCCACGGGGCTGTGAGCGGACGCCTGGCCGAGGCACCGCGCGGTGGGGAGAGACTGCCATCGCCCCCAGCCTCGGCATCACTCTTCTCCCCGCCACCCCCTCCAGCCGCTCTCCTGAGCCTGGAGCATCCCAAAAATCCCCGTTCCCTCTAGATCCTGCCGGCAAGCTGGGCTGCCCGCGGAGCTACGCCTGCCTCCCGCTCCGGCCCTTCTGTAGGTCCTACATAAACACCCACCTGGTGTCTAAGCGAGCCGGTTGTGAGCACCACGAGCGTTATAAAGCCCCGGTCCGGCTCTGACCCCAGGAGCCTCGGTGCCAGCTGTCAGGCGGCAGGCGGGGGGCCAGCCCCCCCCTCCCCAGCCCCTCGCAGCCGGGTCCTACCGGGGGGGACAAAGCCGAACAGACGTCACAGCGGCATCACGCGGTCCGAGTGGCCTTCTCCATCTTGTTAGCACATTGTGTAACACAACATGTGGAGGCGCTGGGACCGCACACGCATGCACTCCCCGACAGCCCAACCGGGGGGAAAAGAAGGAATAAAAAAAAAAAAAAAAGAAAAAGAAAAAGAAAAAAAAGGAAGCAATTTAAGCTTTGAATCTTTCTCTTTAAAATGTTCTCATGGCTTCATTAGAATTTGCAGCCACAGAGGCTTTGAAGAGCATGGTATAAGGAGTGAAACATCTGGAAAAATTAGGATTAATGAAAACATAATTCCCAAGACTAAAGGAAAGATTAATCCTGCGTTACCACTTGTGTGTTCCACAGCTTTTCCCCAGCTCGTAACGCTGAACTTATTAAATCGCCCTGAGCTGAGTTTTCCTTTTTCTCTCTCCCTCCCCTATTGAGCCCAATGGAAGCGACCGATGCCAAATGTAACGATAACCAACTGTGCCGAGCCGCACGGGCACGAGGCCGCCCGCCCCCCCTGCGCCCAGGTGGGCACCCACGGCCCGCCGGACCCGTGGGCGGGGGCCCTTGGGTGGGGGTCCCGTGGGGTGCAGGGTCCCGCGGGTGCTGGGGGGGCTCTGCGCTGGGGTGATGGGTGCCGTACCCTGGCGGGGCTGCACCTGCTCCCACGTGCGCTCCTGAGCAGGATCGGGCCCGATCAGCTCGTGGGATGGGGGGATGCTGGTGAATGAAAGAATAAATAAGGAACAAACTGCCCTGCTCTGCTTTCAAAGGCTCGGCTGGGTTGAGACTGAAGCGGCCCTGAGGTGCTGGTGTCTCTGTGTGGCATTTCTGCAAGCGCAAGGCTTGCCCTGGTGCTGTGCCGTGCCGTGCCATGCCGTGCTGAGCCATGCTGTGCACACCGTGCTGTGCCGTGCCATGTCATGCTGTGCAATACCATGCTGTGC